CTTAACTGCTCTCACTGCACTTATGTGTCCGGTCAGAGAGAGGCGAAGCTTCCCTGTCGCTAATTCCCAAATCTTAAAAGAGAACTAGCTCGGGATGGCCAAGAGATCATAAATATTGATAACCACTTCACCTTTATGATACGATCACCTCCCCCGCTGGCAAACCACTGATTTTGTGGCTCCACATCAACGGCACGTACCCATCCCGTATGTCCTAAAAGGCATGCTTCAGCAGTCTTTAAGGTACTGCAGTAGCCTTAAACTCACCAGAAATCACCCTATAAAGCTTCCACGGCGCATGCCATTTGGGTTTGACCATCATAGGAGCCCGAAGGGGCAGTAGTGATCGAGTGGTATTGTCTTCTGATTTGCCACCGCTTGAGCCTACCGGAAGTGAGGTCAATACCTGCCTGAAAACTGCAGTTTTATAAGACATCGGGGAGTAAAAAATGCTACCGAACCCTTGCTGTGAGCTGGTTTGAGCAGGCTTCCCAGTTCCGTCAGTAATGGCCATCGGTCTATCTGAAGAATTCACAGATCCAATACCAACGCTGGGCTGACTAGTTGGTAACTGAAAAAATCTAATTAAACAACGGAGCGAATAAGGATCGTCGTCGGTACGTCCATTGCAATCAGGAAATCAAGGTTATTCATTTGAAATCTCTAGGATCGTCCCGAACAGGCCAAGCTCTCTCACATGGAAATGTTCAAAGGTCTTCAGCGCGCAATGCTATAGATTTACACTGATGTACGTGTTCCCGAAATTTCTTCATTTCAGCTCCCTCAGAGCAAACCTTCTCGATTGCTCCATTCCTTGACCTTTCCTCAACCGAAAGTAATAATATTCAGTGAAAATCGGTGTTTACGGTAAAAAAGTAGACGACCAATCGCCCTTCACCAAAGGACCGACTATGTGACAGGGAATTTAGCCCCTGGAAACCCCACCTACCGAAAAGTTGGAGATAGAGCACCGCCTGTTACCCAAATAAAAGTTTTATTTATCAAATATGCACAAATCCTAACAGAACAGATCGTTTCCCTTGAATTCGTCAAATCACTAACTTACTTATAATAACAACCGCTATTGCACTTCGTCAGTTTTCA